GGGACTAAGGCAAAAACAGTCAAGGGAAAGGAAATAAATGCCTCAAGGAACAAGAGACTCAGTGGAGGGGGAAAGGGGGAGGTCAGTTTGTGTACGGGCTCCAAAAGCCAAGGGGCCAAAATTTGAAAAAAAAAAAAGGGGGAAAAAAAAAGATTGAAGGCATCTGAAAACAAAAGGGGAGGGGAAAAAACCCCGGTACAAAATTTTTTGAGAATTGGGTGGTTTGGGGAGGGAAGGTTACGCCGAAGAAAATTTAAGAAAAATAATTCGAAAAAGGATTCGCAAAAGAAAGCAGACTGAGGGACCAAAAGGGGACCAAGAGTATACCTCGACCGGACAGAAACTAAGAAAGACTCCTGAAAGAAGGGGAAAGAGACGCAAGGAGGAACGAAAGCAATGAAAAGACAGACCCAGACACGGGAGGAAGGGCAACACACCCCACAGAATCTCCCGCCAAAAAAAACTCCACCCTGACATTCTAAACCAACTGACAACCATACTACAACCCATCACTGTTCCCTCTCCCACCAAACCCCCCATTCACAAACCTCCCCAACCTGCCCCCTTATGGAAATTCGACCCCCCCCCCATAAAACAAACCCCCACCTACACCACACCCCCATATGGGCCCCCACCAAGGCTCCGCCCCCCAACCCCCAATTACTTGCATGCCACAATGATAAAAAAGAAACAAAGGTTTGGGACACAAACGCGGAGGAATAACAAAAACATGAGGAGTGGAATAAAGAATAGGAAAAATCCCCAACTCATAGACACAGAAAAAAAACTCCAAACATAAACAGACACAATTTCCCAACAGGAATCAACCTAGGAAAGATAAAAGGGATAAGGGGGGGGAGGGTTTTCACTCCTCATAAAACCCCAAAGGGGGGATTGAAAAAAGAAGGCAGACAGATTGGGGAAAGAGACTACATTGTGGGTACAACACCGAGAACATAAAGTATCAGGGTGTTTATAACCCCCCCAAAAATGCAGGAGGCCAAGAGAGGGTACAAAAAACAACGGGTAGGGGACACCCTGGCGGGGCAAGAAGACTCACTCACAGAGCAAAGTACTGTAATGGGCGTTTTCAACCCAGGGAGATCGACTGGGAAAACCGGAGCCACAGGGTCCCGAAACATGGAGAGCCAAGATGATGGATGTGGTACTGAAAACCTCACATCAAAGTGGGGGCACAACCAAGAGAGGGGGAATACCAGCAAGACTGGACTTGGTTCACCCTGAGCATTTCAGACATCGAGGACATCACTAAACAAAGGGGCCCCTTGGAGCTAGCAAACATGGGGGTTCTGATTTTGACTATAAAGATTCAAGGGGAGAAGGTAACGGAACGAAGGGGAGGGGGCCAAACTAAAAAGGGGGGGACACCGGTAAAAATTTCCGCGGGAGGTTCATGGGACAGAGAAATGGAGGAAAATCAGTAAACGAGAGATGGAAATTGGCAAAAAAGTAAAAGGGGGCAGGGGAAAGTTTTTTTTCCCAAGGGAAACAGAAAAAAAAGGGAAGACCAAAACGAGTCCTTGGTTTACCCAAGGGGGGGGAGGCAAAAACTAATGCAACAGGGAATGGAAAAGGGGAAAGGAGGGAAGGACCCAGGAAAAAAGGGGATTAGTAAAAGCCAAAACGAGTATGCGCAGATAAGGGGGGACCCCCCGACATATGAAAACGACATAGCACGAAAGTCAAATCTGACCCAAAATGCGAACCAATTAGGAGGGGACAAAATCAAGGGCCAGGGGTAAGGCAGAAAGAAGGGGGAAACCACAAAAAACATCAAGAGGTATGTAGAGCTCAAAACGAATTTTAAGGAATATTTTCATAAGACAGGAAGGGCCGGGGGGACAACCAGATGGGGCCCAAAAGGAAACACCAACAAGTGTTGGCGACATACAACAGATAGAGGGGGGAAGAAACTGCTAAGGGGCATCGTACCTCAAAAGGGAATGGGGCCGGGCAACTCTCCCATGGGTCCTTAGAAGGGAGCAAAGTTTGCACCACTTTTCCACAATCTTCAACACATCCCCGGAAACGGGGGAAAACCTGAGGATGGAAGACGGCAAAATTTGTTCCCATTTTTTAAAAAAGGGGGACAGAAAAGAGGCACTAAACTATAGACCTGTGTCATTACGGTAAGTTGCAAAATTTTGGAGAAGATTATCAAAGAGGGGTGAGCACCTGAAGGGAACAGGAGTAAAATGCCAACCAAGGGATTCAGGAAAGGGCAAATCCGTGTCACAAACCTTCTGGAGTTTTAAAAAAATAACAAATAAAAAAAGAGAGAGAGGGTGGTTATTGCATCTCTTGGGACTCAAAAAGGGCCTTTGCACAGTTCCTCACAAGAATTAGTGCAGAACTAGAGCATCAGCCATATAACGGGGAAGGGGCACTGCAAGGGATCAAAAAAACCTGACAGGGGGCAACAACGGTCATGGTACGAAAATGATGTACCAGGGGGGCACCTGTGACGAGGGGGGGTCCCACAGGGGGTCGGCCCTAACCATGCAAATTTTTGGTATTTTGGAACGACTTTACGAAGGGTTAACCAGAAGTGTCCCTTTTTGCAGATGAGTGAAATTAAGGGGAGAATTAAAATCTGATGGGGACCGGGCAGGATTTTCAAAGAGCCTGACAGACGGACCCTGGTCCAGCAAATGGCTTCTCGAATTTAATCCTGCCAAATGCAAAGTCATGAAGATGGGGGAAGGCCAGAAACCACAGACAAGTATAGCTAGTGGGCCCAAAAACTGCAAACCTCACTCAAGGAGAAAGATCTTGGGGGGAGTAAACACCGAGCATGTCCCGGAAGCACACATCAATCAAAACGCTGCAGCATAGGGCGCCGGGCAAACCTAAACAGCTTTTCCGCCCCTTAGAAGGAATCAACAGACCGTACACCGGATTCGGGGCCATCGGAGTATGCAGCACCTGTTTGGAACCCGCACTTGAAAAAGCACGTCAAAAACTAAGAAAGAAAAAGGGTTTGCAAAAAGGGTTTAGTTCCAGAGCTAAGGGGAATTCCTTGAAAAAAGATTAAGGAAATCGGCCTGACGACACTGGGGACGGGAGGGTCAGGGGAACTGATAACACATATAAAAACGCTTTGGAAAGACAAGGGGAAAAGGGACAGGAGTTCCAGGGGGGGGACAAAAACAAGAGGCCACAATTGGAAGTTGAAGAACAAAATCAAAAGAAAAAGGGGAAGTATTTCTTCATCTAAGTTTAAGGCATGGAATAGCCTAGAAAATGACTATGGAGGCGGGAACCTACCGTTTTAAACGGGGTTTTTAAAAAAAGCTCTGGAGGGGGGGAGAGAGACCAGTACAACCGGTAAAGGCGGGGCCAGGAGCTAGGACCGACCCCTCAACCACAAATGGGTGAGACACCCCAACACACAACCACACACACCAACCACAAACACACACACAACACAACACACACACGGGGTCCTTTTAAAACGTACATCACCCAAGAGTTTAAAATTCAAAATGTAGAGACAAACTGCAGATAAAAGTATAACAAACACTTTTTTATTGCAACAATTCGCTCTCCAAAGCTTTGCCAAGCCACTAGAACCCTGGGGGGCGAAACGTTTCCACAATATTGTCGGTATTTCTACCAAAATTATTATAGGGGAGAAAAAAAAAAATGCGAAACATTGACAAAACGAAAAACCTTTCCATGTTTATTTTTTTAAAACAAATTTAACTATTTAATACATATTTTTATAATAAAATACGCTAAACCCCCGAGGTTTATGCAGCATTTCATCTGCAAAACAACCATCACCACTGTTGCTACAAAAACCCCAAAAAACCCAACTGAAACTAATATATCATTCGCTGACTTAAGAGCAATAAAATACGCCCTAAACGGATTTTACTTCAAAAACGTTCGGCGAGCATCACATGGGGAAACCCCCTCTCTGGGGGCACGGTGGAATCCAGCTGGAAAAAGGGGAAAAAAATGAAAATTTTTTGATTTTGAAATCTTCCTGGGAAAAAATATTTTCAATAGACATTTCAAGTCAGAATTTAGGATGTGAGGAGTACGAATACGACAAAAAAAAGTGTTGATGGGTAAGAATATGTTACACCTGGGGAAGGGGGAAGAATACTCACTTTAAGGCATATGTGTAAAAACCCCTTTGGGCTCTTTTTGATCATCTTAAGGGACGTCACTGCTCTAATAAGTTTGCATCAATGGCAACGAATGCCACGTATTAAACAAGGAGAGAGAGAACTAACGCATTAAAGGAAGTAAACACTTAATGGTAATAAATCCAATACATTGTAGGGGCGGGTTACCCACTGTCACAATATGTTTGTAATTAACAGTTCCTGAAGACCGGGCGGCCCCAACATAACTCGCTCCTTTGTTAAAAGTAGGGAATAAATTTTAAGAAACTCACAAATCTTATACACAGTA